TCTGAGTGACCAGACTTTAAGCACACAGCACTGCTTGGCCTGCGCTTGTTAGGTACGGGGTAGATCTCTCCCTTGGCAGAATGTGATCTTTCAATTAGTTATTTGCCTGGAACACTGTTCATTCACACATTTTCCATTCATTCTCTCCCTCCCCCATTTATTCCCACATTCACTCAGGAAGCCTAATTCCCTTGTCCATGGCACCCCTCTTCCTTTCTCCTCCCAGCCTTCTTCCTTTACTGGGAAATGGGAGGCCTGGGTAGGCTGGGAGGCACAAGGCCCAGCATGGACCCTTCCCAGCCCCCAACCCAGGCCAGCTCCTGGGCATGTGCTCTGAGGGCCAGGCAGGGCCATTCTTTCCCTCTTTTCCCAGTCCTGAGGCCAAATCCCCAGGAAATGGCCTTACCTACTAATCCCAGGAGCTTCACCACTCATCGCTGTTCTTCAGAGCAGTTTCCTGGAAGAATTCATTGGGTTTCCCAGAAAATGTTTCTGGTCACCTTCTCTTTCCATGACTGTAATTCATTACTTTCCATGTGTCATAATTAGTTTAATGCCCAGTCTTGGAGTATCTGCATTTGACATCTGAAACATTTCTGTGGGGTAAATCCCAAGAAGCCAATAGCTACCGTGGCACATGCAAGACCACCGAAATGATGCAAATGACCTTTTAAAGAGACCCTGTGTGGGAGCAAGAGAGTTGAGATCTGATCCCTTAGCTCCAACTGGCTTGGGCAGGTCTCTTTCTTTTTCTGGTCTTGAGTTTTCCCAAGGAAGAGGCAATATCTCATGGCAATCAAGAGCCTGGTGGATTGAATCAGACCCACAGGGTTCAGATCTCAGCTCTGGCTCTCACTAGCTCTGTAACTTTGAGAAAATAACCAGAGCCTCAGTCTCCTCATCTGTAAAATGGGGATAGTGATATTATTTATTACCTAGAATTGTAATGATAATACAGTGAGCCAACACATGTGAAGCACAGTGCCCGGTACTCAGTCATTTCTTGAAATGTCTTAGCTGTGGATGATAAGAAGAAGAAGAGTATGCTGGAGAAGGAAGAAGGATAAGGAATGGAGATTGTATGAAATCCCTAGGTGCTAAGCTAAGGTAGTCATGGAGTTGGACAGGGAGGAGAGAATAAAGCTACTTTTGATATTTCAAAAGTTTAATGGGAATCCCACATCTACTTATCCACAATAAAGCCACAAAGGATAACAAGAATTGCAACTTTCTTTGCTTTTGGATGAAATTACATTAACTACTTATGGTCAACTAAAAGACTTTGGAAATAAATAGACCTAAACTAAGCCCCCAGGTAAGGTGTGTGACCTTGAGTAAGGAGAGTAATGTCCCCCACAGAGAGACTGACAACACTCACCTTGCAGGGCAGTTACAAGGATTAAATGAGATAATGTATGGAAAGCACTTAACATGGGGTCTGGCACAGAGTCAGTACTCAGTACGTGACAGCCACTATGGCTAATATCCTTCCCTAGCCTCCCTGGGGCTCAGCTTCTTCATTGGTAAAATTAAAATCATACCACCTGCTTTACTCATTCAACAAATATTTACTGAGCCAAGTACAATGAATACAAAAATGTATTCACCAGATGCAGTTCATGTCCTCTCAGAGCCTACAGTTTGAAGTTGCTCATTATTCATCCATTCAACAAATATTTTTACTGAACATTTAGTATATAACAAGCTGCATAATGGGAGTTAGAGACACAATGGCCAGTAAAACAGATTTAATCCCCAAGTATCTACAGAATTATAGTCTAGAGAAGATGTAATAAAATCAGCTAGTGAAATGACTAACATATAGTAGGTGCTCAATGGATAAAAGTTATCTAGGTGCTAGTCAGAAGCTGTGTATGTGTATCTTCGGGAAAGTTGGCTCATAAAAATGTTGAAAATTCATGATTTCTTAACACATGAATTTGTTTGATAGATAGGGACTTCGTATGTAAGTGTTGAATCACTATATAGTACACCTGAAACTAATATTATACTGTATATTAACTGGAATTTAAATAAAAACTTTAAAAAAAAGAATTGATAGTAAAAAAATTAAAAATTTAAAATGAATAAAATGAGAAGTCCCCCAAAATGAAATTTTTATTAATTTATTTTTAAAAATTTATTTATTTACATTAGAGAGAGAGAGCACAAATGGGAAGGACAAAGGGAGAAAGAATCTGAAGCAGACTCCGTGCTGAGCATGGAGCCCAATGTGGGGCTCGATCTCACAACCCCAAGATCAAACCTGAGCTGAAACCAAGAGTTGGCCGCTTAACCGACTGGGCCATGCAGGCGCCACTCCCCCGCCCAATATAACATTTAAATATACATTTAACAAAAGATATGTAGCATCTGTATGCTGAAAACTACAAAATACTGATCAAAGAAAACCTAAATAAATGGAGAGGCATTCTGTGTTCATGGATTGGGAAACACAACACAGTAAAGATATCACTTCTCCCCAAAATGATCTATAGATTTAATGTAATTGCTATCAAAATCCCAGCCAATGGGGTGCCTGCATGGTTCAGTTGGTTAAGCATGTGCCTTCAGCTCAGGTCATGATCTCAGGGTCCTGGGATCAAGCCCTGCTCAGTGGGGAGTCTGCTTCTCCCTCTCCCTCTGCCCCTCCTCCCACTCATGCTTTCCCTCTCTCTCTCTCAAATAAATAAACAAAACCTTTTTTTAAAAAAAAAATCCCAGCCAGCAAGGTTTTTTTGTAGATGTAGACAAATTTGCTCTAAAGTTTATATGGAAAAACACAGACCCTAGAAGTGCTGAAACAATCTTGACAAAGAAGAACAAAGTGGGAGAAATCACTCTACTCAATATTAAGGCTTGCTATATAGCTGTGGTAACCAAGACAATGTGGTATTGGTGCCAGACTAGATACAAAAATCAATGAAACAGAATAGAGAATCCAGAAATAGACCCACACAAATTTGTGCAATTGGTTTTTTAAAAAGGTGTAAAAGCAATTCAAAGAAAGAAGGATAACATTTTCAACAAATGGTGCTGGAGCAATTAGACATTCATAGGCAAAAATAACAACAATAAAAAAGAACCTTGATCCCAAACTCACATCTTATATAAAAATTAACTCCATTTTTGGTCTGGGCTATAAGACATGAAACTATAAATGTTTTTAAAATAGGAGAAAATCTTGTGTTTCTAGGGCTAGACAAAGTTCTTAGCCTTAACACAAAAAAACATGATTCATAAAAGAAAAATTGATAAACTGGATCCCATTAGAGTTAAAAACTTTCTCTGCAAAAGTCCACATGAAGAGGATGAAGAGAAAAACTACAGACTGGGAGAAAATATTTGTAAACCAAACATTCAAAAAGGACTAGTATCTAGCACATACAAAGAACTCTCAAAACTCAAGTGTAAAAAAAACAAATCCAGTTAGAAAATGGGCAGAAGGGGCACCTGGGTGACTCAGTCAGTTGAGCGTTCAACTCTTGGTTTCAGCTCAGGTCATGATCTTAGGGTTGTGTGATGGAGCTCCATATCAGGCTCCAGGCTCAGCGGAAGTCTGCTTGGATATTCTCTCCCTCTGCCCCTTCCCCTGTGCACACGCTCTCTCTCTCTCTCTCAAATAAATAAACCTTAAAAAAAAAAAAAAAAAAGAAAATGGGCAGAAGACATGAACAGATATTTCACTGAAGAGGAGATAGAGATGGCAAATAAGTGCTTGAGAAAAGTTTGACGTCATTATCTATCAGGCAAATGCAAATTAAAACCACAATGAGATATTGCCGTATACCTACCAAAATGTCTAAAATTAAAAATAATGAAAACTCCAAGGGCTGGCAAGGAGGAAGAGAAACTGTATTGCTCATACATTGCTGATGGGAATGTGAAATGGTACAGCCATTCAAGAAAACAGTTTGACAGCTTCTTAACAAAACTATTATGCAATTACTATAAAACTCAGCAATTTCCATCTTAGACATCCCAGAGAAATGAAAACTTAGGTTCACACAAAAACTATACAAGAATATCCATATCAGCTTTATTCATAAAAGCCAATAACCAGAAATAGCCCAGACATCCTTCAGTGGGTGAATGGTTAAATAAACTATGTACATACATGCCATGCATGGGATACAATGTGGCAATAAAAAGGAACAAACTGATACACTCAACAACCTGGATGAATCTCTGGAGAATTATGCTAAGTACAAAAAAGCCAATATCCAAAGGTTACATACTATTTGATATAGCATTTTTGAAAAGATAAAATTTTAGAAATGGAGAACAGATTCGGCGTTGCCAGGAGTTAGGGACAGTGGGGGAGAGGGGAGAGGGAGGGCAGTGGGCACCCAAGGGCAACTCAAAAACCTTCTGGCTTGGGAATTCTTCTGTATCTTGACTGTACGGATCCACAAACCTACACACGTGACAAATATTTAGAATTACATACACATCCACAAATGAGTACAAGTGAAACAGGAGAGATCTGAATGAGATTGATAGATTGCACCAATGGCAAATCCTGGTTGTAATACTGTATCACAGGGGATGTAAGATGTTACCACGGGGGGCACTAGGTATAAGGTACACTGGATCTCCTGTATTATTTCTTACTACTGCATGTGTTTTTACAACTATCTCAATAAGGATTTCAACTAAAAATTTTATTGTTTTGTATTTTAAAACTTGCATTTTACTAAACAGTTGAAGATATAGAAGAAAATAGAGCAGAAAAATCATCATCCTGAAATACAATATTTTGCTGCACTTTTTCTGGTCTTTGTTTTTTACATTTATAGGAAAAAAAAAACTGTGAGAGACTGGAATAAAAATCAGGGTGATGATGACAAGGTGGGGGCCTTGCTGTCTCCCACCTTCTATGACATCAGAACTCAGTGTTTGAGGGATACCTGGTGACCAGAGGCCAGGAAGGAGGAGGGCACCCATCTGCCTGTCGGGTGGGGCTACCTTGTTCCACCCAGGCAGCCTGACCTGAGGCCATGGTGATCCAACAGGTGGGCAGCAGGGGGCGAGTGGCGGCCGAGCTGTTTGAAAGGAGAAGGGGCACTCGCTGTGAGGACAAGAAACAGGTGAGGTCAGACTGGATGTATGCTCCCTTCCTCCCATCTGGGCTCCCTTTGCCACTGCAGACAGACTATAAGGCCCTCAAAGTCAGAAGAGGCCTTCAGCCCGACTCTTCCTGGAGCCCGACCTGGTGGGACGCAGCATGCATGCTTCGGGGCTTCTTCCCCAAGGCCATTACTGACTGACTCTCTTATTTCATTCCCAGCACTGTCAGCAGAACTTATGCTCCAGGAGGGCTGAATTGTTTGTTTAGTTTCCTACTAGATCCCTAGTGCCTACAATAGTGCTTCGTGCGTAATAGTGGTTGAATGAATGAATGAACAAACTGAATAAATAGGATACAGCTGAATTGTAGAGCTCCTGGAGTGTTATTAGGGCTAAAATTCAAACCTCATGAAGATTTATGTCAAAATGGGAAATGTCATCACTTACAATGCACAGCCCGGTGCTCCCACCCCCTCTCTCTTTCATGACTTACAACATGCCTGAGAGGCACTATTAACAATCTCATTCACAGATGGATAAACCAAAGCTTAGAAAGGCAAAAAGGCCGTATAGCCAGGACCCAGGATTTGAATCAGGTACATCTGATTCCAGGACCCTTAACAAGCTTACCCTACACTCCACTGCCTCCCAGATGGAGAAGTGAGGGAGGCGTGTAAAGAAGGCTGGGAAGGTCACCTAGACCTTGCACACATGGAAAGAGATAGGACTTTATTCTGAGATTAATAAGAGGCCATTGAGGGGTTTTAAGTAGAGCAATGGATGACTGATCTCTATACGTTTTCAAAAGATTTGTTCACTTGTTCATTTGATATACATGCCCCAATTCCTCCTTTGTGCTGGACCTCACAGCAAGAAGGGGGCCTTGTGGGGTTCCCATCATGCTCCACCTTTTCCTAAAAAGAGTTGCATAAACACCAAACCCCAGGAAGGCTCTTTTGAGAAAAATCCCAAAAAAAGTTCTGTGGTTCAAGGAATGCTGATATTCTTGTCCCCCCAACCTTGGAGATTTACACTGCTCATTCACAGAGGCTCTGAGAAGTTCTGCAGCAAGGAATTCACTTCACTTTGTTAACTACAGCATTTCCCAAACCGATCTAAAACAGTCACAGCTTTTCTTTTTGAAAGACCTTTCAGGGGCTCCTGGGTGGCTCAGATGGTTAAGCGCCTGCCTTCGGCTCAGGTCATGATCCCAGAGTCCTGGGATTGAGCCCCGCATCAGGCTCCCTGCTCAGCGGGGAGCCTGCTTCTCCCTTTCCTTCTCCTGCTCAACCTGCTTGTGCTCTCTCACTCTCTCTGTCAAATAAATAAATAAAATCTTAAAAAAAAAAAAAAAAGACCTTTCAGCATATGTCAAAATCCATTTTACAGATGAAGTAATTGAGGCTCAGAGAGAAGAAATGATTTGGCTCAGGCCCCAAGACAGCAGCACAAGGAGAAGAGCTAAAACTTAATCCTGCCCCTGTTTCGCCCTTTGCCCCCCCCCCCCCAGTACAAAATACAAACCCAGCAGCAAGTGTGCTGGGGAAGACATCATCCTGTAAAGTGCATGGACAGAGGAGTTGTTAAATAGCAGAGCATTCACCACAGAACACTTAACAGCCATTATAAAGAATGAAACAGTTCTCTGTGTCTTATGCCCAGGGAATATTATTAAGAAAAGAAAAGGTGCCCTTAAGTGTACGATGCAAGGATCTTTGCACTGGGTCTACACACCTGGGCAGTCACAGCCCGCCCCCCACTCCCCGGCCAGGTCAAGCTATGGAATAGTCCTGGTGCCCCAGAAGCCTCCTTCAGGCCCTCCTAGCTCGTCCCCTTCCCACATAACCATGATTCCTGACCTCTATCATCATAGATGAGTTTTGTATTTTCTTGAATTTCATGTTCTTGGAATCAATGTGTACCTTTATCCCTGGCTTCTTTCGCTCATCTGTGTATCTGTAAGACTCTGCCAGATTGTTGCTTTTTAATTTATTTTTATTTTTAAAGTTCATGATGATAATAATATAGTTGCTAATATATATAAAGAAAACTATCTGGGGAAGAGGCAAATCATGCAAATCTTTTATCTTCTTTGTGGCGGTAGCAGGTCTAACTCTTGCTTCACAAACTCGGTAAATAAGAAATGTGTTATTTCAAGGCAAATTAAATCTGGCTCAGCCTGCATCTAGTGAGTTGGGGAAAATTCAGTGTCACTCAATACTGTGTGTGCCTTAATCCTTTGTCCACTTTCGCTTGCCCTGACACTGTCACTCTCCCAACTCACACTGTCTGTTGAAAATCGGTGTCTCTGAATTCGCTGTGCTAAGGCCAGCCCAGCCACATGGCCGAACAGTGGGTGCCAGGCCCCTCCCAGACTCAGACTGCCCTTGTCTCTTCTCCCACCTCTCTAAAAGACCCCTTTCTCCCCTCTTAATCCTGGCACGTCCACCAGAATCTCCTAAATGACCTTGGACTGACGCAGGCACCAGCGAGCAATGTTGTCTCCAGGTAGCTCCTTCGCTCCATCCTGCCTCAAAACACTATGACGAGACTTCCCAGTAACGGGCCAGGCTAGCCTTCCCACTGGAGCAACCACAAAATGCACGACATCTGTGAGGCAGCCAGTCTTGGGTGAGGGCCACCAGGCAGCACAAGAGTGCCATCCCGGAGGAAAGGAACACTCGTGACAGCCTCCACTCTTTCCCAGCGGTGGCTGCACCGAGGTAGAGGCCAAGCATGGCACTGCAGTCCTGCTGAGCTGCGGGGCGGTGGGGGTGGGGGGCAGCTAAGGCCCCGGACTCTGCAGGACGAGGCCCTGGAGAGGGGAGAGAGCTGCTCACCCAGGGGTTCCCCATGACTCCTTGGCAGAGGGCCGGGATGCGCATGCCAAGGGCTGGATTAGCCGCTCTCACCAGAGTGGCTGTTCTGCCCTTGAGAGCAGAGCGGAGATCCTGGAAACCCAGCAGCGCAGGAGGTTGCCGGAATTCCGGCCCAGCTAGAGCAGAGGAGCTCCGTAACACTCAGGCGTCCACTTGAGAGCACACGTACACAGACATGGACACGCATCTATGCACACACACGAACAGACATGTATGTGTATATATACATGCACACACACATATACATACATATATTTGGAAAAACAGAAAACTTTAGAAGCAATGGCTAGAGGCACCTGGGTGGCTCAGTTGGTTAAGCGTCTGTCTGCCTTTGGCTCAGGTCATGATCCCAAGGTCCTGGGATCGAGTCCCACATCGGGCTCCCTGTTCAGCATGGAATCTGCTTCTCCCTCTCCCTCTGCTCCTCCCCTCTGCTTGTGTTCTCTCTCCCTCTCAAATAAATGAAATTTTTTTTAAATCTAAAAAAAAAAAGAAAGCAGCAGCAGCAATGGTCAAAGTTTCCACATTAAGAAGGAAATAAGGAAGAATTAAACTCAACAATTGAAAGAAGAAACAATAAAGATAAAATCAGAACTTAATGAAATAGAAAATGAAAATAATAAATAAAATTAATAAACTTTTGCTTTGAAAAGATTTATAAAATTGGTAAATTTTTCATAGTCTATTTTTTTAAAAAAAGAGAAAACACAGATTACCAATATCGAGAATAAAAGGGAACTATCACATGTCTACCTCCTATAGACATTAAAAGGATATGAAGATAATATGAGGAATGACTGGATGCCAATGCATTTGCTCACCTAGGTGAAATGTAGAAACTTCTTGGACAACACAATTTACAAAAGTGACTCAAGAAGAAATAAAAAGTCCAAAAGACTACAAGCCCAAAAGATTTCACCAATAAATTCTATAAATCATGTGACCAATCTCACACAAATTCCTTCATAAAACAGAGGTGGAGGAAATGCCCCCTGACTCATTTTAAAGGGGCAACATAACCTTGACTCTAAAACTCCATAAACATATAGAAAAGAAATCTAATCTCTCCATGAATGTAGTTGAAAAGAACAATCTCCACAAACAGTAGCAAATCAAACCCAGCAATATAGAAAAAGGTGAATGCATCATGAACACACGGCTTCCTGAAGGAACCAGGTTGGTTAGGTATTCAAGTCAATCCATGCAATCTGCCGCAGGCTCAGGCAAAAAAGGGCAGCACTCAAGTCTCTCAGTGGATACAGGAAGTGCATTTCACTAATTCAGCGTTCATTCTTGGTAAAATTCTCAGAACAGTAGAAACAGAAGGAAATGTCTTCAAACTGAGGAAGGACAACAAGGAAAAAGCTACAACTACCTCTACTCACACCACGTCCCCCTAAGATACAGCACAAGATGAGGATGTTTGCTTTTGCTGCTTCTATTGGTATTTTACTAGTGATTCTAGTTAATATACAAGGCAAGCAAAAAAGCTAAAGATTTTTTGAAAGATAAAGAGTGGAAAGGATGAAGTAAAACTTCTTCCCAGACAGCATGATTTTTTATATACAAAATCCTAAACTCTATCAGATAAAAAAGAATTAAGTCATAAGACACAAAATCAATTGTGTTTCTATAGACTAGCAATGAAAAATTGGAAAATGAAAATTTAAAAACGATACTATTTACAATAGCATCAAAATCCATAAAATACTTCAGAAAGATGAGCATGGCCTCTACACTTGAAAATGATGAAACATTGCTAAAAATAACCAAAGACAGTGTAATGGAGAGATTCACCATGATCACGGATTACAAGGTATGATATTTTAGAGACATTCTTTCTCACCAAATTGAACCACAGTTTCAATGTAATACTAATCAAAATCCCAGCAGGGTTTTTTTTATAGAAACTGAAAAGGTTGATATATACATATATATGTGAAAATGCAAAGGATCTAGGGTAATCAGAACAAATTTGAAAGGAACAAAGTTTAAAAACTCACACTATCTGATTTCAAATGTTACAATAAAGCTGTATGGAGGAGGAGCAAGATGGCGGAGGAGTAGGAGACCTGGATTTCATCTCCTCTCAGGAATTCAGCTGGATAGGGATCAAACCATTCTGAATACCTACAAACCCA